CGTGATATCCCAGCAAACACAAAGTTACATGTAACGTACTCGTTAGTTGTAATTTCCCACTCAAGAATATAACTGCAATATAACGCACGTGTTATATTATAGTTATATTGTTGAGTGGGAAATTATAACTAACGGGTACGTTACATGTAACTTTGTGTTAGCTGGGGTATTTCCATTTCTGCGTTCCTACTTAACTGTGATAACTTCTGTCCATATTAGGATGACTGCTGATTGAGTTAATCGGCGTTGGTAACGGTCGTCCTTAGAATACTATAAACGTAGTATAATTATTATATGAATGTATAAGAAATAAAAACAGTGTGTGCGTGTAACTGTTCATATTACTGTAAAATGATAAAACTTTATAATGCATCTTACAATGAGTTTCTCTTTCTAACCTTCATGATTTATGTCTTATATATAAACAAATAGAGATCGTTATCGAATAAATTGGTTGTCGTTATCATTTGCTAGCCTAGTTAACAAATAAATTTTTTCATTATTGTTTCCTAACTTAGTTAACAAATTCGTTGCAGTTAAACAGAGATGTAAACCATACGTGAATTTGACTAAGTCCCAAATTTTGTTTCAAATAAAAATGTTCTAAATTAACCAAACTGGTCCAGTTTTCAAAAATAAAGTTTTTAATAGTCTAGTCAGTTGAGATAAAGTCGACGAGTCCCATCAATTTTCAATAATACCTGAAAATGTATTTCGTAAAAAAATACATAATAATTAGATAATTTGCGGGAGGAATAAAATATATATTACTTGTGTTTGTTACATATATTGGGTATGGGAATAAGTTTTCGCCCATTGTAGAAAGCTGTCGTTAGTAGCATTGCTTGTGTGTTTGATAGAACGGCGACATATGTGTTTGATAGGTTTGTGTTCAAACTTTTGAGCCCAATAGTTGGCATTCGTTCGAAGCGTAAAAAAGAGTAACTTTTTTTGCGTTGAAGATGTCGGAATTTATTCCAAAAAAGCAACATTTGCGGGAAGTTTTACTCCATTATTTTATTTTAAAGAAAAGT